ATCCTAAGGTGTCTAAGGACCTTCAGGATAGCGGAGGGAGGTAAAAAAAAAAAAAAAAAAAAAAAAAAAAAAAAAATTGCTAATATTAATCCGTCATACTCTTTTGGACATTTGGGTCATGGTCTAGCAAAACCCTGTTCAAAAATTCTGAGATTTTTTAGTTAGATTAAAATGTAAGTTTTTGTTTATATGTAGTTCACTTTTTAACCTACGTTGAATTAACCTTAAAGTTGAACAATTATTGGTTAGTGTTCCAAAATAGATTGGTTATCAAAATTTTAATTGTTATTGGCTAACGAATATTACATAATCACATGACAATTACTGCGCAATGTTATTGGTGTATCTAAAAATATCTCAAAAATTCAGGGACAAAAATTAGGTTGCACACAAACATTAATCAAAATTCGTGAGAACAGGGGTTTGGATATTCAAATCTAATTTAAGCAAAAATTAGAGAATTTGATCATACGTATGATTTTTATTTATATTTAAGGCTATGTACAGCTTAGACACTTGGACGTTAGGCATGTCCCAAAATGTAGAATTAAGATCAGCAGATATCTTTACAAAGTTGGCTAGCATTAGCCATAATGCTAGCTAATTTTATCATGATTATATCTTGAAAAAATAGCTTTAGAAATCCTTAACGTTAAACAAAATTACTCTTATACTTTATATCAGATCTATACGTAGTATTTCGATATACTGCGCCCAAATATAAGAATTTTCAATCGCTAAAACTTTTACAAAAAAAAAAAGTTTTATTAAAAAATTAAACTGAGCTCTACAAAGTTATCGGTTAGTTTTTCAAAAAAAAAAAAAAAAAACTTTTATGAAAAGTTATAACGATTTGAAAACAAAGCAATTTTTAAATCGCTATAACTCTTTATAAAAGTGTTTTTATTTTAAAAAAACTAACCATAAAAGCTCAGTTTAATGTATAAAGTTATTGACCGATTTATTAAAAAACTTTATTCTGTAAAAGTTTTAGCGATTGAAAATTCTTATACTGTACATTAATTTTATTTGTTTAATATGATCACGAGAAAATTGAAACATTTCCCCGTGATTGGTGATTATAGACTACTTGCACCATAGTATTAAATGAAGGCCAAATCATTTTTTAAAGCTGATAATGAATATAATAATTTAATTAATTAGGTACATATGTACAAAAATTTATAATCGATAAGTAATCAAGTTATAAATGATTGCTCACGTTAAATCATACCATATGATCTATAAGAAAATTAATGCAAGTTTTTAATATATTAAACATTCTTACACTCGTTGATCATAGTTTATAAGATAAATGATATATAAACAATTTTAGCAACAATAGATTAAAAGAGAATTAGTATGTCTTATTTAGGTACTGTATAATATAATTTAGAAAGAGTTTGAATATTTAATATGGCATTCAATTGATAAAAGATCAATTCTCTATTTAGAAAGGCAAATAACATAACGATAAAAAACTTGTGTTAGGATATTAATTCAAATAGATTTGACATATAAAACACTTCGACAATTGTCTTCAGGTATTTGGAACTTTCGTAAATTAAATTAGTTCAAACATGATATCATCTGCTTTCGATTTTTTTAGCATATTTTCCACAGCATCCTTGCTGTCACTAAATAGTAGAACCGATTACTTAAAATTTGCAGATCACTTGACCAGATTATTCACATGGGCGAAAATATCCAGTTGAAACACAGATAACAAGGTGATCTGTACAAAAATTTATAAGTAATCAGGTTACAATCAGATACGTACGTTGTTTCTATTGTAGGTTGGGAGAGCGGGTAATGTTGCACGTAGTGTAGCAAGCCGGCTTAGCCGCTTCAGCCCAGCAGCGGCTGAGCAGCAGTAAATATTTAATAACGTCGATTTGTAGCCAAATTAATGGTTAGGTGAATAAAGCAGATTAGTAGGACTCCATTGAATCTAAAATAATCACTAGTAATAGTTCGTGAAATGTTTGCTTTACTAAAAATATTTACTGCGCCACCAGCCGCTAATACTTTAATAACATACGTTTTGCAATAAATTCATTACATATATTTTTTCGTGAATTCATACTTATGTGTATCAAGCAGATGCATATTACTTCTATAAAACTAAGTTTATAATAAATTTAGCAATAATTTATAAAAGGGATTTAATTTGTAATGCTATAGCACCATAGCACTAGGGTAATATAGCCAATTAAAATAAAAGATCAGGTGTAACATGAAATTGTTGCAATTTTTAAAATTCAGAAAATAACTTAAAATTTTGTTAAAAAACTGTTTTTGGTATTCTAATTAAAAAAATTCCTTGCTAAATATTGGTATAAAACCTCTTTACGCTATTTAGTAGTTAAGTAATATTGTGAAGCAATACAAGAAGAACTCAAACATATAATAAGTAGTCTACTCAAGAGATCTTTCAAATGAGTAGTTATAGACAAAATTGTAAAGAATGACAACTCAGATATAGTACTAGTAAACTAAAAAGAAGAAGTACTAGAAGAAGTAAGAAACTATTTTAAAAAACAATTTCACAAAAACTACTTGTGATGTTACTAGAAAATGGATATTCCAAGTTTTTGTTGTTATAAAGAATGTGATACTTGTCAAGATGCACCTTCAAATTCTACAAGAAATAATTCATTACTTAATACCTGGAATTCGATTGATCCTATTACTTGTAGTAGTAATAAATATCTATCCACTGATGGTAGTTCATTATGTAAAGATAGTTATCATTGCTATTATGAGAGTAGTTATCAAGTATGCTCAAATTCCAGATCATCATCCTCTTCGTCTTCATCATGTAAAACACAATGTGATTGTACATTATGGGTGTGGGATGTTAGATGTAAAATCATATGTCCATTTTGCTACACAGTAGTAATTGAAGTAAAATATGATATATCTCAAGGTATCGAGATTTCTAATGTTATGAATTTTTTCGAACAGGACAAGGATACTTCAGAAATTTACATGAAAGGATATTCATTAACAATACCAGTAAAATGTTTTTATAATCCAAAGAATCTTTTGAATGTATTTTTTGATGTTAATTATATTGTGAAAATATGGGCAATTGTTGGATTAGTTACTTTTTTGTTTTATTTGTCTTTAGTAGTGATATCTGCTCGTTTATCAGCAGAATATCTTTCAGATATCCCAAATCATTGGATAAATTTTTTTGTATGCTTTTGGTTCGGTACTATACCATCAATAATTTTTATATCTGTTTTACATAGTCCCGGTGTGAACACAAAAGCTTTGTACGCGATATCATTGATATTAATTATAATTTTATGGTATAATGTTCCATATGTAGAATAGAAAAAAAGAATTAAGAATATATACAGAGTATTTTTTATAGTTTTAGTATCATTCGTATTACCTTTATCGATATTTGGTTTTTTAAGTATATTTTATAAAAATTTTATATTCGTAGCTATAATGATAATTATATTTACTTTATCAATTTT